GTTTTCTTTAACTTTTATTTGTATTATTTTTTTGCAGTCGGAGCACAAAATCAGGGCACTTACAAGAAGGGGAAAATGGGGCAATGGGAAGAAAGCATATTATTGACTGGCTGCTGTCCTACATGTTTTATGTTTAAAAAAATGTAAGCTTAAAATGATAGTAAATGAAATAAAGAGAATAAATAAGAACCAAATAGAAAAGAAAAAAAAGTAAAACCAAGAAAAGCAATGTGAGCTCTGAAGAGATCTGGGCTTCAGTGAATCTACAGCCAGATAAACATGTGCATTTGAATCGAATGGGGATTGATTAGATGTTTCGGGTTAGAAATTTGAGGGTTGGAGTGCAGAGTGGCTCTAACAGGCTTGTCCATCACCTACTTCAGCCACAGAGTCCAGGTCCAGCCCACTAGAAAGCCGCCCAGGGCCCTCGCCAGGCGAGTGGCTTTGCTGCACTAGATCAGGCAGATTGGAGTTACCGGGGAAACCATTGCTCTCGGCATGACCGAGCTTTCTTTCCCCAAACGTCTGCAGAGAGGAACAGAAAGAGGAGTAGGGCTACACTACTGCAGGCCCCTTGCGTGGCTAAGCCATCTTACAGAGATATTTGGGAAACGCACAGAGGGTGCCTCTGTCAGCAAGTGTGCAGCGAGCTTGATCAGAGATTTTGTTGGAGAATTCAGAAGCAAAAGAGGTGAAAGAAACAACAAAATATAACCCAATAAAATAAGGCTTAACCAAGGCAAAAATAAACATGAGTTGGTAAACTTAAAGAGAAATAAATCTGTGACACTAGAGGAATGAGTGTAGGAGTTTTTGCTAACCAGGAAAGGAACCTGTCTAGGTAGGTGCACCTACCTCCCGCATCATCAGGGTGCTGTCTTGTGAATTTTTGCCAAATGAATCATTGGCATGAGAATCCTCCTGGTTGGCCAGTGAGTCGGTGCCACCCTGGCCAGCAGAAGGCCTGTTGGGAGAATAGGGCAAAAAAATACATATAAAAGCCTCTATAAATAATGAAGCTTTCTATAAGACATTTTAAAGACCAACACAATTTAACTTTTCTGTGTTGAAATAAGACATTTAGTTGACAATGCAGGCTATTTCGAAATACTAACATACTATATAAACTGTTTCTGCAGTATATAGTATGTACACCGTGTACAGTTTACAAATCTTCTGTATGCATAGATATTAATAATCTACTACGAACATTTGGCAAATGTAGCACTATCCATTCTGCTATGGGTACTGTATCCCACAATACAATGCACTTGATTTTACCTGATATATTTACCTTATACATAATACCATCTATACTCTATAATGGTCCATTCATTTTTTGATTTAATATTTAAAACAGAAACATGAGAAAATGGTTCTTTTCTCGTTTTTTCAAAAAAGGAAAAAACAAGAATTCGCCTTGATTTTTAGTTTTTACGTTCAGGGGTAGAAAATGGATAAATCGCTTAAATATTCGATTTCCACATGTGGGCGGTCATGAAATGGTGCCGTCATCAGGTCTTCTTCAGTTCTGTGCAACAGAATAATAGTCCTCCACTGCTATAGTTACATTTAATCTCTCTTGCATCAAACAACCAGACTAACAAAAAGCCAATTCAAAACATTAATAAATGCAGTAATAGTATAAGTAATATTAAAATAACACTATCTGACAGACTAAAAGCTACAAAAATCAAAATTTTTCATTTGTTAAAACACTCACATGATGCGTGGAATATCACTAACGGGCACCGTTCCATCATGAGCCCCGCCTTCTCCATCCTCCTCCTCACTGCTTTCAGATTCCTCACTGGATGAGGAATAATCAGTCACTTTCCTGGGAGGCCGGTTGGATTCCTCATTGGTTCGCAGCTCACGGAGTTCTTTGGCCAGAGCAGTGAGGTCCTTTAGGGCAGGGAATGATGGGTCAGGTCAGAAGGGAGAGGAAGACACAAAGAAAATGGGTAAGATTTCTTTCATGCCGTGATCTGCTTGATTTGGTCTCCAGTGAACAATGAATTCAGTAAAATGTGAACAGCAGTTCAGGTTTTAAGCCTGCAAAGAGCAAACACTACAGTGATGTATTTGTTAATAGGAATCATGAAAATAAACTTCGTTTTGCACATTTAGGTCATGTAAATGGCACCGAAGAGATTACCAGAAACAAACAAATAAGCAAAACATCACAGATAAGCAAATTAACTAAAATATTTTATAAAGCTTTACAAATCAACTCTGAAAGTGGGATAAAAACATCCGCCATCATTTCAAGAATGATGCACAACTGTATAAACCATCACGTGCTCAAGTCAGAGAAATAATAGACCAGAACATTAGGGTTTGTTCCTGAGGCCTGTGCCCTGCATGCAGAAGGTTAATAGGAATCAGCAGTTCCCGCTCTGGTTCTGTCTTACCAGCTCCTCCTGTCGACAGGCCACCAGGCAGCCAGATAGAAAGAAAATGCCATTGAGAAACCAGAAGTCAACTCTTGTGCTCTTATATTTAAACACCGATGCTTGAATGAGATGCAAATTTCCATTTTTGACTAAATATACAACCTAAGGCCTGGAGTGAGGTGCTGTGAACAATCTAGAGCAAAATGCAAGATTATGTTTAACGACACAATCTTGTCTTTTTTATGTTTAAAATACATAATCTCGTCATATTTGAGACAAATTAAAAAAGTTTGGTGGAACAGAAGTACAGTACATTCAATATGTCGTACTGTTGACTACCTGGGTGTCAGTTGACGAAAATGTCCATCCACAACTTTATGTGGTCACAAAACCCATGAAACATTGTTTGGGAAAAATGTTGTGTCATCTAAAACTAAAATGATTTTGTTTCTGATGAAATTTCTTTGTAAACTGTTCGCTAAATCATTCTCACACAAACTGACGCATTAAACAGAATGTGACGATATTTGTAAACACGGTTAATACAAACAACTTACACAGAAATTTGTTTTGATCATCTGCTTACATTGATCTGAACGTAACAATTTACGAAAGAATAGTTTTACGAAACTATTTAAACAAGTTCATTCCACTCATCTTAGGTTAATGCAACACTTGGAAAAAATGTACACAATTTCGAATGTTTTTTTTTTACCGCTCACAATGACTTTGTGACAGTTTATGCAAAAATTATTCTATGAATGATTTACACAGAATTTCGTACTGCTTTACAGTTCACATTGACTTTTTGCATCAATGTATGTAATAATGGCTTTGCGAATGATTTTTAAAGTTATTTGATTTAAAATAAATGTGACAATTCACACAGGAACGGTTTTACAAACAATTTCCACAAATTTGTTTAACTCATCTACTTGTATGGAATACGACAATGTATTTATGAATGACAATTACAAACAAATTTACAGAAAAAGTTTCTGGCTAAGAATGATTGAATGCTCTGCTCTGTACTTCTATCCCTCACTTCCTTGTTTTTGTTCACGTCA